TTTTTTGTAAAAACTGCATACTAGATATAAATATGGAGGCCCCCTGGACTGAAGTTTGTTACTTCGAGATATATTTTTTTTAAAACGATATATCTCGTATTTTTAAATTGCAACTCCGGAAACCACGACGATGTTTTCAATGTATTTAGTATAGGGCGCAACCGAAACGGACGCCAGCCTTAATATGAAATGATTTACAATTATTTGTTTTTTTATGTAATTTTTCATTACAATATCTAATGTGCAAATAATAAGATGACATTTATATAAAAGATATCAATAATCCAAAGTATAACAGTTTTTGCAAAAAAAGCCTGGGGGAAATTTTTCATTAACGCTGACTATAAATAGAAGGGATTTGTTGGATCTGTTATCACCATATAATTAATATACATATTTCAGTAAACTTTCTCTGATCTTTATCAAAAATTATTAGCTGATTGATGACACAAAAAATCAGGTGACGAGCGTTCAGTAGCCACCATGCTTACAGTAATTGTTGTAGTAGAACATATGTACGGTTTTTAAGTTTTCTGAATAAAAATTTTCTAAAAAAAAACAATTATGACTTGATAAGGGCACAGGAAATCTACTGTGATTCATCGAGTGCATTATTTTTGTTGTTGTAAACAACTGTTACATTTATTAAATTTATGCTAAAATTTCAGTGTTTATTCATTCTTTATAAGTAAGCATGAAGGTTTTTATAAGGTTAACACCCTGACGAAAAGTGTAAGCTTTCATTTGAGGTCAGCTTCACATTCATTTAATCAAATAGCTGAAACAATTAAAAAACGTAGGTTTTTAGTATGATCCTATATGTATAATCGAATCCTAAATTTTTGTATAATACCATATGATCGAAGAAGCCGTGTAGTCATGAAATTTATTTTTAAAATAATGATTGAAGCAAACTTTTGTGTTGGCAATTCCGAATTATTGGCAGCAATGCTGGTATGTTGTGAAGATTCTGTATTTCACCCTTGATTTGGCAGCTATTTGATCGTAACTGTCAAATCGAACAAGAAACACCAGCATAATTTTTTTAGCATTAAATTTCAATGGTTGCTTAAACGACTTTTTTCTCAATCACCGTATATGAAAAAAATGAGATCAAGGTGCAAGCGTACAAGTTAGTAAGAGAAAAATTGAAAAAGAAAGGTAGAGGTAAAAAAGTAAAAAAAATGAAAGGGGACTACAAAGTAAAAATCGATTCATTAAATCAAAGAAACACTAATAAGAACTGAACCTGATGAAGTGATGGCCGAATGCAGAAATTGTTGAATGGAAGTAAAGAGAAGACAAAACTATTGAAGAAGACGAAATAACTAAATAGACCAAGGAAAGAAGAGGTACTGAAGACTATTAAGGAGTCGAAGAATAACAAAAACCCAAAAGTGAAAGAAATTTATGCGGAATTGTTGAAGGCAGGAGGCATACAGATGCAAGAAAAGTTGTTAGAAGTGACAAACCGCGTGTGGGAAGAAGAGAAAATCCCGATAAAACTGGTCAAAAGCCCATAGATGCTCATTATAAAATAAAAAAGACAATAAATTAGTCGATGAAAACTACAGAGGTTACATTACCAAATACCTGTTCTAAGCCACTAGCAAGATTCCAAAGAGAAAGACTGAACTACTGCACGGAAAATATAGGTATTGCAGGAGTATCAAGCTGATTTTCGTAGGAATAGGTCTACAACGGAGCAGATCCTCACGCTGAAAAAAATATAAGCTACCTGTTACGAACACAAAATAACCCTGTACTGCCTTTTTAAACAGGAATACGACCAAATAAACAGAGAAAAAATGTACCAGGCAATGATGAAGTAAGGTGTCCCCAATGAGCTGATTTCATGGTGACACGAGCACTTAGGCAAGGAAACCCATGTCTACTGTACTGTTTAATTTGGTATTGAAAAACAACAAGCTAAAAACAGACAAAATAATATTTAAGAGCGAACACAGTGTTTAGTGGTTGCTGACGATCGGATACTTATAACACAAGAAAAGAACTGGAAAAAATACGGAAAGAATAAATGCAGAGGTACAAAAACAAAGCACAAGTACATGTTACAGGAGACACAAAAAACAAAGAAAAAGAACTCATAATTCCATGGACCAATGGCGAGGAGTACGAATTCGAAAAAGTTAACAAATGTAAGAACCTTCATAAAATCAAAATGCCTCCACAAAAGTAAAAATAACACAGAAGTTCGTAATAAGACCTACAGTAACAATATTCCTACAAAACCTGGGTGCTGAACAAAACGGAAGAAGATGGATTAGAGATGGGAATAAAAAATTCCAAGAGTCATCTATGGAGACAAGAGCCTCACATAGAGTGGCTATGCGATAAGAATGAACTAAAAGCTACCTAAAGAGAGACCTATACAATAAACCCAGTATTACTGCATTTGTATGGGCTCTACGAATACGATGGCTAGGACACATAGATAGAAAGATTAGCTAGTGGAAAAATGTTAGTGTTGCGAAGGCGTCCAATCGGTACAAGAAGAAAAGGATGCTACGTTGGAAAAGGTGCAAGACGATCTGAAAGGTATAAGGATTCAAAATTGGACAACAAAGGTTGTGAACAGAAGCGAATGGACGCGGGTGGTCCACAGATTTATTATAGACAGATAAATATACAGAAGACATAGAAAATAAATATAAAAAAAAAATATGCAAATTTTATTACGCCTGCGAGACCTTTTGAGCATTATAAATAAATAGATCTTTTGTATTCCTATTTTAAAGAACACACTCAATATTTTTCAGCAAACTTTAATATTTTATAAATTCTTCACAAGAGTGTCAAAATCGGTAACTATGATATTATTTTGATAATTTGAAAAATTGCTATTTTTTAAGTCCACCAAATCATACGTGGCAACAAGTGATACATATTAGTAACTACGGGGTGACTATTAATGACTGAAGTAAATTAGCAGCAGCAACGCTAATATGTAAATTTACAGTTGTCAATTTTAACATGAGCGCGCCTTACAAACAGATGGCAAAAATTTTAATTTAACAGGTAATGGTATAAAATGTTGAACAGGCTGCCAACCTGACAAAAAAACACAAAGATTAATAGTCACTCGATACCTAAAGTCGCGATCTTTTCTATAGAACCACTCCCTAGTGTAAATTTTCAAAATTTGTTTGGTGTAAGTGACCTTGACGGGTTTCTGGGGGAAAACATATGTGTCAAAAATTTGACAGGTTAGATGGCCCCATTGTCAATGTGGATATTTTATTTTAATAAATAGATGAACAGAACATACAGTCTGCACGGGATATGGTGCGGCATAGCTGAGGGCAACCGAAACATTTGTGTTGTGCTAGTTTCGATTGCCATATCAACTACCGCTACCAACCGCGTTCGGCGTAAAGTACTAGATGACAGGGCTACCAACTTGACTTTTTATCGAGTGGTTCCGTAGAAATGACCGCTACTGTATAAACAGAAAGGGAGTTGGAATTTTATTATTTCAAAAGTAGCGTTTATTAAATCAGCCATTATTTTTGAAATGGGGGTGACAATTTGATATTGTAACTGTTACATAATTATCATGCCATATGATCAAAAAAAAATCCTCTACTAAGTCATGAAATTTACTTTTAAAATAACAATGTTGGCAACACCAAAATCTTCCTTGTTCAGTTTGACAGTTGCGATCAACTAACTGTCAAATACAGAATGTCAATACCATTATTTTAAACCTACTTAGACATTTTTTATTTGAAAATTTAAAAATTTGCACAGCCTAAATTAGGTTTTCTATCAAATTTGACAATGTCACTCTCACCTTTTAACAAAACAGTGTCGTATGTTATTTTGGAGAATGTCACAGTCAACAATTTTGATTTTGCTAAATCATCGATAATAATTGGTATAAAGCATTTCAGATACCGTAGAATATGTGCAGAATGCACTGTTATCAACATCAAGACGTCTCCTTGGCGTTATCGCCGCTTCAGCCGGTGCTACAATAACATATAAAAGTCAAATTTTCTGCTCTACGACACTGTTTTCAGTCACATTTGAGATGACATTTTAGCAACTTCAATTTCGAGGGAGTTCACAAAGACAAAATTTTAGACATATCAAAGTGTAGTACTTTCCCCTATATGACAGGGGAGTTTCTTTAATGCAACAGGTCACAACAAGTGATGAACTTCAAAATAAACGCACTTCATAAATGATGAGGACGAACTATGCTTATCTTCGTTTGGATCTACATTCTACTCATTTTGGGAAGCTAAATAGCGAATATTCAATTGACAAATTTTCTAAAATTTATAGGAACAAATGTACTCTTTTTAAAAAGCCATTCGCGTTTAAACAGTTAAAAGTGTGTCAACATGTTCGTGTATAATCAAAGGCAATGTAGTCTTGTCTTTTTAGGGTGGATAACATTACATATTTAATTATGTATATGAAAACAGTGTTTGGTTTCAGGCAGTGGGGACTATTTATTTGTGGATGAAAGACTAATTAGCCTGGCCCTTCAAATTAGAAATTACATATTTTGGTTCATCGGTCAAAACGACACGGCTCGATTCGGCGATGTAATCCCCAACAAGTTTATTTCCAAACCCTGTATAAAATTGTATGCCCTAGATAACAGTCGGCACTCGGTGAAGTTATTTATATTCCATTATGTGGTCAGCTAAACTAATTATACACAAATATTCAACACATTTTAATCATAACTGTGTAAACTGGGGGTCAAATTGTTGCAGTAGGCCACTACACTGTAAGAGTAAACAAAAAAGTGGCATTGATTCGACGTAGGTTAAAAATCACTTAAAACACGCCGGCAACAACAAAAAAACGTGTTTGGATAATGTGATTCCCGTATACAGACAGTATAATCGTACCAATGACGACATTAGATTTCGAAGAAAACGAAGTAATTAATTCCTCTGTAGATAGTAAAACAATTAAAGATAATAATACACCGTTAAAATTCTATGCAAATATATACTTACAAACTGAAACCTTTGAGCCTTTGAGGGTTAAAATAGTTGACAACGCCGCTACACTCCAATAAATACTGGGGTTTTAAATACACAATAACATCGAATGTCGATGTCTGGATGCTTTGCCGATACCACCGTTTATTTACACTTGTTGTTAAATACACACACTAATTACGCACACTAGATGCAGTCGTAATTCAGAAGGGTCAACTCATACAACGCTTAATGTTATGCAACTTTCACAAGACAAAATAAAAATGGAAGAACTAACAGCTACAACTTCGACAACAGCAACCCACATCAAAGCACAAGCAGGTATTACAACGAGGGAAAACCGAATGGGTAGGGAAGGGCGGAGTAGGAGGAGAAGGGGAAATTACAGTACTCGAGCCTGAACTGGGTGCGTCGTAGAAGAACTGCATTGAGTGCATGTAGCGGAGGGATAATTAGGACAAGGTTACAACTAAGATTTGTATTTTTTTTTTGGTACTTTTTGTACCCAAAACAAATCAACGGTTTAGTAACGTTTACACAAATAGTCATTTTCTTATCTCTTGAAGTAAACGCAGATTCAAGATTCAGTGTTTAGATGTGTTATGTTGTTATGTACCTATCCCAAATTTTGTTTTGTTATTTTTTCATTTCTATTCACGCAGTTTAGACTTAAATAGATTATATTATCATGTCTCACCCATTTCGTGCATCTCGTGCTCGGTATAAAGTCTTATTTGTATTTATTTATCGGCAGTGATTTTCTATTTGTAAACCGAGTACGTAAAATACTAGCAACACATCATTCTGGAGACAATTCGATACAGTCCGTTTCAGTTCCTTTCAGTTATCCCGTATTTTAGCACACTAATTGTAATACCTTCAAGAAGATTTTGTTAATAAATGGTGTAAATGAACTATCAGTGTGTAATTTTTGATTTGTCCTACATGTAGCCAGTTCTAAATACACTCTACAAAGGGGCTGTAAAGTTTTTTCGTCTTTTAAAGTTACTCATACTTTTCTGACATTACATTTAAAAAGATGCTATTTTCACGCCATATTTCAAGTTTCCGGTAGCAAGTTTGCGGTTAAATTTTTAGCAAATTTTCAGAATGTAATATCTCTTATTAAAGATAACCTACCCGCAACTTTCTCTATATAAGCAAGGGCCGTTTTTTTAACAATGTATTTATTATCTTTTTAAAATTTCGGTCAACTTTTTCATCACGTATCTCTCACATTTTTCAGCTTACAAAACTCTTAATTGTAAAAAAACATTGACGACTTTGTCGGAAATGAAATACAGTAAAAGCAGGTTGTGTCGAAGGAGTTGCGTTGTACTGTATCTCATTTCGAACAAAAAAATCGACAATGTTTCTCCCACGATTTAAGTATAAAGTTTTGTAATATGAAAACAGTGGTGTAAACTGCGTTCCGACATTTTCATAATTTCCTGTTCATGATGAACAATTTCACCAAAATTAAAAAGAATATATGATAAACTGTTTCCAAAAAACGGCCCATATATTATACAGAGTGATTTCGAAATATATGTATGCAATAATTGTAACCACGGCATCACGTACCGTAGTAATGTGAAAATATAGAAAAAATAAATGAAAAGTCGAATGGGGCCAAACTCCCATGAACCACCCTCGAAGCGATGCCACTGATCCACCTTTTAAACACCATGTGGAAAAACGTTCGAATAAAAACGATGTAAACACTTTCAATTTCATTTAAAAGTAAAACCGACTTTTTGCTGATTATCATTCGTTCATTCATGTATTCATTCATTCAATGTTAAAGGTCAATGCGAAAGATTGTTAGTTGTAGCAAAAAATGGTGGCCCGATTTTTGGTAATGCTTCATGATGATCGAGTTTTTATTCAGATATATGGTCCTTGTCATAATGATTCCACATTGTTTATTAGAACAAAAATAAGAGCAACCTAAAATGCTACTACCTTTTTTAATAAATGTTGAAAATGTTGTCCTTGACTAACAATACAGGCTTCAGGACGCCGCAACATGTTTGCACGGATACGTAAAAAAACTTCGGGAGTTCCACGAACTGTAGCGGCTGAAGCTCTTAGATAGTTTCTGGACATTGTTGATTTCCATAAACTAACTGTTTCATTCAACCCTTGAGACAAAAATCACACGGGTTGAGATCGGGTGAACGTGGAGGTCAAACTATGGGCCGTTTCTACGGACCCACTGGTTAGGAAAATGGTTATTTAACCATTCAGTTACTGACCTGAAAAAATGTGATGGTGCTCCATCATGCAAGTACCACATGCCAACTCGTTTACTTAGAGGCACCACATTGTTTAAAAACTTGAAGTACTGTCCCGCGTTTAGCCCCATTGGTAAAACATAAGGTCCACACACTTATTGAGAACCGTACAACATACTTCTTCACGACCGTCTGGACTTTCATCGGACCAAATGTTAGTGTTGTGGATGTTGAAAACAGCATTGCAGGTGAATCCTGCTTTATCCGTAAACAGAATGGTATTTAAAAAGTTAGAGCGTTCACAATATTGCTGTAACAACCATTCGCAGTAAATTACACAACGTGGAAAATCAGCGGGTTCCAAAGCTTGCACTATTTGAACGTGGTATGGATGTAGGCCTTGTTCTTTCCATCAGCCACACCATAAAGCATTACTATGTCGACACGCTCTGAATTGGAAAAATTCACCATCGTCAAAGACGTTAACCGAACACACGACGGCAACCAACTGATACATGACTGGCCCTGATCATGTTTTTTGCACGTTGCTTATCAGTGCGACGCTTTTTGGGGTCTTAATTCTAGTCGTTCTGTGACATTTATTGAATAGTATTTACGGTAGGTCAAGAAACACCACCAGTGACGTGTATGACAACTTATATTTAATTTCAAATATTTTTTTCTAGACATTCTTATCGCTTAGGAACGTGAACTTTACACAGTACAATAAACCTTCTTGTGAGCTATTCCCCATTTTTTTATTACACACATTTCGAAATCATGAGGGACTGGTTACATGGAAGACGAATAAAATTTGATACTTTAAAAACCATAAATATTCTAGCTGCTAGTATGCATATTGCATAGTTGGGAAGATCAGGAGAGTTCTTGTCTTGCTGGGCAACAATTCACAATTGGCTCAGACAAAAAAAACAATAAAAAATTCATACGCATTCCATCGCGGAGAACTTATGAAAATATTTAAATTGACATATGTTTAAGGGTTTAAACATTTATTTAATATACCTAGGGAGATTTGTTATTATACCAACCTTCTTTTATTCTTATGTCATTTATGTTTAGTGAATAGATAATAGTTGAACTAAATTCTTATAAATTCTAGTATTTTAGTAGCTACATTTTGCTGACAGCGCAAGCCAAAATTTCTTACAATTTTAGTAAAAAACATATTGTTAAAGCACCCTTAGCCAGTGGGTGTGAATTAAATTTAATATCAGAAGGTTCCACAAAACTATTAAAGCTTCGGCGACCACTAACTAATTAATTGTTCTGTCAATTTCTGATGTTAGTCAAGATATCCAAGATTTTCGCATACGAGGCAAAGTTTCGTTTTAATTTATCTTGCATTACCATGATAGATAATTCACAACTTAACTTAGGTAGATAATATGATTCCTTAAGCAGATTTCCTCGTTTAAAAAACACGAACTCTTTTGTAAACTTTATTATTAATTTATTACACTGCTAAGTATTAATTGATTAATTTCTTTGTTTATGTAGCTATGTATTCTTTTGTATTGTTGTTATATATAGTTAATTAATAAATATGTATAAATAACACAATATAATGTTATTAAAAGTTGAAATTTACAACACAAATGTAAATTTTATCATTTGAATTTACGATCATTTTAACACTAGATATCCTGTCGTATAATTCTTTCGAAGCTCGAACCCCGATGTACCCACAAGATTGTCGCCTTTCAGCTCAATTATTTATGTAATTCATATTTGTGACAAAATTGTTGACAGTAATTGCCTGATTGTTGCGTTCTGAATTTAAAGTACATATTTCATTTTCGACAACTACATAACAATAATAGGGATAATTTTTTTACAAATTTTATGTAAAAATCTTAGACCTTTTAATATGAATCAATAGGTGTACCAACAAGAGACACAACAAAATATTACTACTATAATTACGGTAAAACTGTTAAATTCTGTGCATTTAATATAACCTTAATTTTTATATTCCGCTTACCGAACAAATGGAAAGTACGTAATCTTTGAAAACTAATATTATTGGTCGAGAAATGTCGGCAGCTGATTTGGACAGGAGCGTTTTCACATAGCTCAACAGATTATACCTGGCCTTTGCGCCGAAGTCAGCCAAAGCTTTCATTGTTACTTCTGTCTTGCTGACGTCGTGCTTGTTTGATGTCATGTACCTAAGCTTGGACCCTCACTTTATAGGCACGTGAAGCGCACGTGATCAGTCCATCTGTTCGGTAAGCGGATTCCGGGCTATAGTATCATCAGAAATAACAGAAGTATTCAAAGTAACAAATTCATGAAAAGTACACAATTTTATGGAAAGCCTGGTTTTCTGGTAGCTTTCAAATAGTACATCTACGCATAAAATAGTTTCGATAAAAAGTCCAAAAATATAAAGGTAAATCATTATAAAACAAAGCACAAAAAAATGGAAACCTAAATTTCCATCTTTCCTAAAAAATCAACGATTTGGATAATAATAAGCTGTTTTAAACTTTACCCGGGGTTATCATTTTGCCCCGATTTTCCCTACATGTGTTTTTGCAGTTCAAGGCTAACACCCACCGCACAAGAGCGAAAACATCAATAAATTTCTTCTTGCGCAGCGACCATACAAGTATACAATCACATGTTGAAACGTAAACAATGACTGAATGGATCGATAACTAGATAAGGAAAAATGAACACACATTCCAAAGACTGATTTCCTAATAACCATAAAAGTAGTGAAGAACTTTTGTTTTAAATTATAGATACATTTAACATTATTATTATCTTTACTGTTTAAAAAAAAAAAAAAAACTACAAAATCAACAAACTTTACTTATAACGAAAATCGGAACAATTTCAATAACCATCTTTAGCTTACAGCGCATTTATAAGTAAAAAAAATTAGAGAACAGGATAATGAGGTGGATGGTAAACGAAATATACAGGGTGAGAAAAAAGTCAAAGACTAAAAGTTATACGGTTCATTAAGGCCCATACACTCAAATTATTTTCAGCCATAGAGAGCGTTCCGTTTTTAAGGCATACCATGTATAACATACCATTTGGTTTTTTTCAAATCATATACCTATATATTTTTACATAATCTGCCTGAGCTCTTCTTGTGTTTATAACCACATTTCATTTTTGAAAT